TGTTTTGTTTTGTCTTGATGTTATAAGAAATACAAGGGAAGCCTGTACTCCCAGGGCTCTGGGAGACTGAGCCAGGAAGAAACTAGTTCGAACCCAATCTGGGCAACTTAGCAAGATGCTATACAATAATAAATTTAAAAATAAGCTGGGGACGTAGCTCAGTGCAAAGAACCTTGCTTGTTTCATTCCTCAGCGCTGGGGTCAGGGGAGCAACAGGGAAGGCTATGTGTGCTGGTACAATGGATGAAGAAATTTATCAATACCAAGATGCTGCGAGACTTCAGCCTTTATCCTCATTGGTTGTATCTTCATTGCCGTGGTTGGCTTCTGCCAATCCAGGTACTACACCTACGTATTCAGGAGCAAGAAGCAGAAAGGGGCCAAAACCTATTGGAGTGTACCAGTCAAATGTATGCTCTTCATTAAGGCTTCAGGAAAGCCCCCAGCCAACAGTTTCCACTTACAGCTATTCTAAGTTGCAAGGGAGTTTGGGAAGAGGAAGTAGGCATATTTCCATCTCAAAGACAACAAGTTCATTTCATAAGAAAGAAGAGAATGAATGTTGGGTAAGCAATCAACAATGTCTACCCCAATATTAAATTAGGTATTTGATGGAAAGTACTAAGCATAGTGCCTACTACATAGTTCATTGCTCAACAAAATGTAAGCTGTAAATACTACTGCTGTTGTCATTGCTGCTGTTGTTGTTGTTGTTATTCACCTTTCTCACTCTCTGGTCAAACGGAAGAACTCATTATACCCACCTGTGCTCTACAGATTTCTACTATATGCACTGTTCTATCTGTATCTCCAGCAGTCTCCCTGCATCAAGATCCAAACAAATGCCATTTCATCCAAGAAGTCTTTGTTTCCATCTATTCCTAAAGTAAGTTCCATATTACAAGACCCACCTCAGACTAAAACTCTTTTTACCACTGCACTGAACATTACCTCTTGGAATATCACAGGTTTTAAAACACATTTCCTTAATAATCTGACTAAATCATGAGTATAAAGGGCTGGGAATATAGCTCAGTGGCACAAATGCCTGCCTGGCAAGTGCAAGGTCCTGAGTTCGATTCCCAGTACCAAAAAAACCAAACAAACAAACAAAAAAAGATGCCTGAGTATATACATACCTGCTTTTGCAGTCATTCTAGAATTAAATACGGTATGTTCTTGAAATGCAAAAGTTAAACACTGTAAATTATGTTATAAAAATAAATGGTAGAGGCATAAGAGGATAAAGATTGCATTCTCCAAGAATGAAAAGAAAAAATCATAAAATTCTCTAAAAATACCATACTTTATACCCACTGTGGGAATTTGGATTGTAATTCACCAAATATTCTCTTCCCAACTATAGGCAGGGTACTTTTACTCAGAGACATTGTGACTTCGTCCCAAAAAGACTGTCAGTAGAAGTGGTATTTGCTTATTTGCTTTGCCTTAGCTCTTGACTCCACAGATGTGCCATGAGAAGAAAATGTGCCAGGTAGCTGCTACTCCTTCAGTCTGGGCTTCCAAACACGTGTAGAACAGACTAGAACCCAACTTGCACCCGATAGGAGAGCCCCCCCCCCCCGCGAAGAACCCCCCTACCTAGATCAGCCTGAAAACTCAAGAAGAGGATAATAAGGACCTGTTGCTGTAAACCAGAGAGTTTTGTTATGCTGTCAAAGTTGATTAATATATCTTTCTCTGATATATTTTAGCATTTTTATATGTTCATTCATTTTGTTCCTTTTGTTTGCCTAAAAAAGAACAAGCTGAAGAATATTCGCCTTTGGTATACGAAAGATTTCTACCCTTGGATCAAGTGTTTTAAATTTATGAGACCCAGGTTATCATGAGTATCAGTGTTTTTTCTGTTTTCTGTTTGTTCTACTATCTTCTAAAATTACAACAAAATACCAAGGAATAGTAATAACGGTGCTAAAATTAAACTACTGACTGACAAATAGGCCTCCCTTATGACAGTCAAAATGTTAACTTGTTAGCTGATTTTTAAAAGGCTAAAGGGTATCCAAGTAAAACAGGCTAAGATGCAGATTGTACAAAAGTCAGTGTGAGCCAAGTCAAAGACATCTGTTGAGATGAATTAGTTTACTCTGACACTACTCACTAACTCATGTTTCAGAAAACTTGCTTTGGGCACAAGCCTCCACCACTGAGCTTCACCAATGGGATGTGACTGATGAGCCTTATGTCCACAGCTTTTCCAATGGAATAAAAAAAAAGCCATACTATTAATAGGATAATTTTAAATATAAGTATATTAAATCCCTAATGAAAAAGGACCTCTGTGTAAGTGAAAGAAAAAATGAAACTCTAATCCCTTAATGGGACAGGAAGAAAGTGCCAACTCACTGACATTAAGAGCGTCCATTCAACCAAGACCTATTCAAAATTTTATAACTGGAAATTTCAGGTGGGAAAGAAAATAGAAGAGCATGGATTGTGTTTTGTTTTGCCTTCTTTTATGTCTTCATCAAGTTCAGACCTAAATTTCCATGGGGCCAAAACTGCTGTACTAGAAATATATAATACACAAAATTGCCAAGTTTGCTTACTGGCAGAAATAGCCTTCAAATGGAAAGGCAAACAGGCAGATACAAAAACCATCAACACTGCAGCGACCTCTCCACCGGGTAAGCTCTGCGCGTGCAGGCAAAGCCACACTTCAGGCTGGACAATCAACGTGTAGGCCTACAATAAAAATTTGAATTCAAGGCCATGACAAGGTCATGGGCTCTGAGTCAGACGAACTGTGACTCAAGTACTTGCTTTCACACTGAACTGTGGCAGGGTACTTAATTTTTTAGTTTCCATTTCTCAAGCTTGGAGTCATACTAGTACTTACCTCACAGGTTCTGCAAAGTTTAGAAAACACAATCCATGTACTCAGTGCAGTGCTAGTAAATGCAAAAGCAATAATGCTAATAGTGATTGTAATAATACTGCCTTGACAGACCTGGCTTCTAGATGAAGACCACCCTAATCACTGCATTCTGGTTCACAACCTGTGCATGACATGCTGAATTCACGGTGTTATGTTCACATCCAGGTACAGTATTTATATGGTGATATTTCTCCAGATCAACTAGTAATTTTTCTAATGAATTCAAGAAGAAAGGTGTTGGAAAACCAGCCTTTCACCAGAAGAGAACTGAGAAGGAACTGGTCCTACACCCATGATTCATCAAGCGTGAAATTCTTGCTAGTGAAAGCCATGATTCCTTCGCTATCCATACCCCCTCCCCCCAAAATTGTGAAATGCTTTTATTAGAGCAGGGAAGCAAACCTACAAGATGGCTCACATTAGAAAAAGGCAAACTCTTCTACCCTCCAGAAAGAACATGGCTTGACCTCATCACCACCTCCAAAGTGACATCCTGCAAAAGAGAACAAGGCAGCCCTCACTACCGTAAGTTGAGTCACAGTATTAAAACGAAAGAAATACCTCCTATGCATGTTAATCTTAATACAGCACATTTGCCTGCTTCAAAAATACCTTATAAATCCATCCCATAGAGCTAAGAGCCACGTACTGTACATTCAAAAATAATGTGACTTTACAAGGACAAGAGTGATCATAGGAGACAAAATGCCACACCCTTTTCCCAAATAGCTCAACAGTAAATAATGTCTCTTATAAAGAAGACTGAAATCTGGAGGAAGAGATGAGCGATTCCAACCCGCAACACTCCCACTCCCACACACACACACACACACACATACATATACACACACTTCATTCTTTACACTGATTCATTTTCATTCTTAAGCCAATGGCCTCAGCATCTTCAACTACTACAACTAAAGAATGAGAGGGTGGGGGGAGAAAAGAACATAGGTCAAACATACTTGCTTCTAAGCCCATTTTCGAAGAGTTTTCTTCCTACTTGTCTGCCCTCAGAGCTGAAGCCCCACACCTGGTGGAAACCAATGGTTAAGTAAAACCACTGACTTAAAGAGCCAACCAGGAAACTAACAGTGACAAGTGGGAGCGGCCCTCCTCTCTGGAGCATTGATTGGCTCTTGGGGTTCCACCGGTCCCGGTTCCACCCACATAAGTGGCAGGCGTGACTGTCAATCACAAAGGGAACTGACAATTCACGCTCAGGGAGTAAAATTGCCTTTCACCCAGCAAAGGCAGGTAGCCGCCTAAAATCGATCTTCCTTAACAGTGCGGACCCTCCCTCTCTAGCGAGCAGAACAGAGACCCCTTAATACAAAATAAATAAGGCAGGGCGGAACGGAGAGTTTACGAGCGTTATTTGATTATCCCGCACCTAGCAGCCCTTAATCTTCACTGTCCTAAAATGATCTTTCAAAGGTTGGGACAGTAATAATAAATTTTTAAAAATTAGGTACACCCTCCTAAAGTACCTCTTTTCTTGTATAATTAGGAGATGGGGAAAGGGAAGGAGCACTGTTGTCCAGTTTAATTTCAAATCGTATTCCTCTTCATATCCCATCAGCTCCAGTCCCCTCCCCAGTAAATCCGGCTTCATCTTCTCTCATACGGATTTTTTTTTTTTTTAACCTGCTCCCCTGGAGCCCACCCAGCCAGCCAGGCACCTCAGCCCCGGGGCTGAAGCTTTCCTTTCTCCACTTTGTTCCGCTTGGGGTTCCGCGCGACCCCCGCCCCCGCGAGCACCGCGCCCCTCGAGGCTAGCGGGGAAGCCAGGCGAAAGAGGAGGACGGGGGAAGAAAGGCGAGCGGCAGCGCGGCGGCCGCCGGAGGGGCGCTGCGGGAGGTGGCCGGGCCCGGGGCGAGGGCGCCCGCGCGCCCGGCGAACCGCGCACTTGTTCCGATCCGGGCTTACACATCCAGGCAAATCCGCCGGCAGGCCGCCGCTCCCTCCGCCGCCCAAGGAAGCCCGGGGGGCGGGAGGCTCAGCCCTCAGCTCCCCCAGATAACGCATTGCAGCGCCCCACGAGCGAGGGGACCCGCACGAGGGCGGCACGGCGCCCCGGCCCGGCGGCGGGTCTCACCTTTGCGATGCTCGCCGGGGCCGTCCCACATGGATTCGTGCAACCTCGCGGCGCCCTGGCCCGGGCTGCCCAGGC